GTCATTAAAAACAAATCGACAAAGAAAACTATGGGCGATGATTGTTGTCAAGGCAAATAGAAACACAATATGAACATAATCATTTGCAAACTGCATTTTCTTTGGCAAATTGCAAATCTTACAAAGACAAAGGACCAAAATAAATCTACGGAGTAGACCCACAAGACACCTTGCTTACATTCATCTAGAATGGTGGTTCAATCTAATCATGATTGCAAAGGTCCTTTTTTTACTTTTCTTAACAAGCTACCAACATATTGATTGCAAAATTGTATAGATGACCGGATCAATGGACTAGGGACTAATTATTCTATAGACCCCTGTAGATTCGAGAAAGAGAGATGGAAAACCCAAAATTGCAGGCCAAACCAAAGAATCATCTTCTAATCCCATGAATGCAGCCTTATTAGTCCGCACAAAGTAAACATGAATGACTTAAATTGAGGAAATAAGAAACAAAGAGACTGGAGAAAAGAGGGGCATGGGAAGAGGATTATCAAATGATGAACTAATCATCGCCTCCTACATACCACAGATGGGTCGATGTCGCCAAAGCGCAAACCCTCAGGCATCACCGAGCACACGTGCAAGGTTGTCCCGGCTGAGCGGTATTGCCACTAACACGAGCGCCAACACCACCATATAGTAATCCTGGCGCCATAGATCCGAACTGCAAAGGCTAGGATTAATTGCAACTCCGAGAGAGATGGCGAGAAGACAATGCGGTAGCGAAGATCCGTCGTTTGAGGTCGAAAGGAGCACAAAGGTGCGGTCAATGTGCTTCGGTGACTGATGGCAGTGGCAAAGGAGGAGTAGGCAGAGGCAAGGGATGGCAAGAGGCGAGGTGGTGATTGGGAACATCGAGCTGCTCTTGCCGCATCAGTGGAGTGGCGATGGTGATGTCGACGACATGAAATCGCTCGAGAAGAGAAGAGATTCCGGTAAGAGAGAAGAGCATTATGTTCCCACCCCATGAAGACCAGGTACGTCTCTGAATCGCGGGTCCTACGCGAAGGAGGGCTATTGTTGGCCAGACGTGTGAAGCATATGAACAAAACTTTCAACCGCTAGTCTAAAACAAACGGTGGATATCGATCCGTGTGACAATCTGACGGCTGAAACCCATTCGCGTGAGGATGTCTTTTTTTTAAGGGAAATTCACACGAGGATGTCCCGTGGAGGGAATATTCTAAAAAAATATGGAGGGAATTTTACTCTAAAATAAAAGCTCCGACCCGGCCCGGCCCATTACGAAACTTAGCGCAGGAGGGCTGCTTGAGTTCGT